CACACACACACACACACACACACACACACACACACACACACACACACACACACACACACACCCGCAGGCGGGAATCGAACTCATGCGGAAGTAGCTTTAGCTTTTCAGTGCAGTGCTTTAACCCCCTGCACCACCAGGGAGGGACAGTAGAGGTTGTTTTTGTTTTTTGTTTTTTGTTTTTTTTTTTAGATGTAACCACTCACTGCCAGAAGCTATAATAGCTTTAATAGCTTTTGGTTTTCAGAACATTTTTCTATATTTTATCTCACTGAAATTTTATATTTTAATAGTTTAAGTGTTATAATTTATTTGGTATTGAGGAAACTGAGTTTCAAAGAAATTGTATGTCCCAAGGCTACTTTGGTCTAGGACTTGATTTGTAAGTTTAAAATGTCTTACTGCTTTATTGCTTAACTTAAGAAATAACACCAAAAACCCTAATTAAAAATAAATAGGATTTAGTTCTTAAGATTGTTCACTCTAAAATGTCACTACATTATTTTAGGTTGAGTCACTAAAATTATTCTGTCATTTTTCACTTGGTTATCCCTGTTTCTTCACAAATAATTGTGTGGTAATGGGAAAATAAATAGTAATGATCTCATTTTTTTCAAAAAAGAAAGATAGAAAACTCTTATAGGATTTCCTGTTTTGTGTTATGCTTACCTTTACTTATTTGTCATTTATTTCACAAAATGTGTTTATGAGATTTTAAAAGTACATGTTTATTGTCATTGAGTATATTTCCTACCTAAGTCTATATGAGTGATTTGAATCCTAACTAATCAGCAAAATTAGACTAATTAATTACTCATTCACAAAGGTCATGGATTGATGTCTTCTAATTTTCAATTATATCACATAATCTTTGGTACCTATTTTTTTAAATCAACATTAACTCACATGACATGGTTTTTCTTCCTAGTTTGTTTTCTGTAACAAGGCCTGTTTTGCTCATAAAGTTGTTTTTTCCCTGATTTCTTTACTTTGATGTGACTTCCTAATTATGTACATTTGAGTTTTGGGAACTGCTGTTCACTGATGATGTTTGCATATACTTCTTTGATTTGTTAAATTTTTGTTAGGTTAAATATACAAATGCTTAAGTAAATATATAAATATTATATTTTGTCAGCGAATGAGTTGTGGATTGTTTCCCTTTAGGCAACTGAAGAGGAAACTTCCAGTTCTTTAGTGAAAGATCACATTTTTCAGCAAGAGACAGTTGTTACCAGTGAGCATTATAGAAGCTTAAGACCATCTGCCTTTGAAGATCTGAATGCCAGAAGAGTCCTTTTGCAAAGCCAGGCCAATCAGGTAAGAAAGTAATGGTTTTTCAGTGTGTTACTCAAATGTATGGACTATATAATGATTAAGGGAACAGTATATCAGGAAATTATAGCACTCATCAATATATATTTATACTCACCAGAAAAAGAAAATCAAATGTATAAGATAATTACTGTCGAATCTGAAAAAAGATAATGGGAAAACACATGAGTGGCAGGGGACTTCAAACCCTTCTCAACTGTCCCAATGAGCAGATCAACCAGACAGAAAATAAATAAGGACACAGTCACTTTAAACAAAGAATTAGACTACATGGACTTAATATTTACGTTCATAGGGCACTGCATCACCCCAAAAGCTAAGTGTACATTCTTCTCAAGCACACATGGAACATTCTTCTGGATTGACCTGGGGTCACGAAATAAGTATCAACCCATTAAGATTGAAATTGTTCCAATCTTCTGATCACAGTGATGGCAAACTACATATAACCCACAAAAAGAGCGCAAAAAAAAACCCTTCTAACGTGGAGACTAAACAACACACACCCGTGGATTGATGACAAAATCATACCATTAGACAGATAATAATGAGGACACAATCTTCCAGTACTACGGGACACTACAAAACAGTACATAAGAGATAACTATTTTGTAATACGGACCCACATTAGGAAGTACAAAGGAACTCAAAGAATCTTACCTTTCATCTTAAGTAGCTTGAAGATGATGAACAAACAAAGCCAAAAGCCAGTAGAGGGAAGATGATCTTAAAAATTAGAGAAGTAAATGGAATGGAAATCAAAAGGACAAACTGAAGGATTAATGAAATTAAAGCTAGTTCTTTGAAAAAATAAGGAAAACAGGCAATGCTTTTGCTACGCTAACAAAGTTAGCGTAGAAAGAAAAACAAAGTAGAATTAAGAATGAAAGGGAAGTTATACCAGAAATCTCAGAAATTCATCAGATTTTGTGGTTACTGTGAACATTTGTATGCTGGTAAGTCAAAAACCTAGAAATGAATTAAAAGTCTCTTAAAAAACTGAAGTCCAGAATTAGATGGTTTCATTAGTGAGTTCTTCCAAACCTTCAAAGATGAGCTAGTACTGATCTTTAACAAAATCTCTAAAAAAAAGTTGAGAAAGTAGGAATACTCTAAACATATTCCATGAAACTGCCATCACCATGATACCTAGACCAGACCAGGACTCAAAACGATAACAACAGGCCAATTTCCCTGATAAATTTAGATGGAAAAATCCCTTAACAAATTTTAGCAAGCTAAATTCAACAGTGTATCAAAATAATTCAGATTGAACCCAGGGGCACAAAGGTGGTTCATCAAAAGAACTATCTGATACCATAGACAAAAGTCAATCCAAAGTGGGCAAGACTTGAATTTACGATCTGAAATCATAAAATACATTAGAATATAGGCAAAAAAAAAAACCTCCATGACTTAGGATTCAGAGATATCTTTATTGATTCAGCTCCAACAACAAGGAGAACAAAAGAAAATATAAATAATTGGTACTACATCGAGTTCAAAAGCAGTGAAAGAATATCACTAAGACAAAACACACCCTACTGAATGTAGTTGCATACCATACATCCAGCTAGAGGCTGATAACAGAATTTATACAACACAACAAAAACAAAACGAATTACCCAATCCAGAGCAGACAAAAGATCTAAGCACTTGTCCAAAGAGATCCGATTAATAGGCACATGAAAAAAATGTTCATCATCATTTACCCTAGGGAAATGGAAATCAAAACTACAAAACCAATGGACCTGTGAGAATAGTTCATTAAACAAAACAAAACAAAATCCAGCAATGACAAATGTTGAAAAGGGTATGTTGAAAAATAACTTTCCTACACTGTTGGTAGGAATATCAACTAATCCAATCCCTCTAAAACAATATAGATTTATCTCAAAATATTAAAAAGGATCTGCCAAGTACTGAGCAATTCCTTTTCTAGATGTATACCCAAAGAATATAAAAATACAAATTGGAAGGATATATGCACTATATTCATTGTAGCACTATTTACTATAGCCATAGGATGAAAACAGTTTAAGTGCCCAGATACAATTAATGGATTAGGAAGTTATGCTATGTATACACATTAGATACACTTGTTATTTGCTATGTATACACATTAGATACACTTGTTATTTGTAGCAAATTGGATGGAGTGGGGGGGGTTATGGTAAGGGAAGTAAGTCAAAAGGAAAATGACAAATAGCAGATGGTGTCACTTAAAATGTAGAATAATCAGAATAAAGTGCATCATGATTATAAACTGTCATGATTATCTAGTGACTGTAAAAGATAGGACTTGTCCAGACAGCTAGTATAAATCAGATAGTAAAATAAGTCATGTAAAAATAAATAAAAGTAATATTTGAAAACCTAAGATTTTAAAAGAAAATTTGAACCAGAAACACTGCAGATAAAGTTATAGTAAATATATATCCTAACCAGTGTGAGTTTAAAGATAAGACACTCAAGCTTGCATGGATTAGGAAAAGTATTTAAAAACTTAGGAAATAAATAAAAATAAATAGTGGAATGGAAATAGTAAAACAAGCCCTTAAGGAATAAGAATCTTAAAAAGTGGAGAGATCAGAGAGCTAAATGATTAACTAAGCTAGGAACAATAAGAAAAAATTAGTAACTTTTTAAACCTGGTGGTTTGAAATAGTCTGAAACATAAAAGTCGAAATATATATCAATATAAGGGATCCGTGTGTGTGTGTGTATGTGTGCATGTGTATCATTAGATTTCATCATGTTTCTAATTTGCTGTTGCCATTGCTGTCATTTCTTTTTGATGTAAAATATGCAGAGCTGGGAATAATGACAAGGCTTGATTTTTTTTTTTTTTAATCCGTAAAGTTTAACCATCATAGAATTTGAATCTTTCACTCTTTTAGGGTTCCTTGAAACCCAGTTCTTCGAGGGTTTGTGTGCATGCATGCAGATTTGCTCAAGAGCATGTGAGTTGTTTTTGGGTTGGGGGTGGGTATGGTAACTGGTTTAACTGGTAGGCTGATATGTTCATCTGGCTTAGGGTCAGATTTTTGTATTCCAGAAGTAGCCTTTTGATTTTCCTTGTTTACCTTATTTATGATCTCACTGAATGATAAACTCGTTAAGATACAAGTAAAATACTAGAAAGCATTAATGCTGTTTCTGATCCCAGTGGGGGGAAAAGGGAAAGTTCCCTAGCTATAGTAACTAAAGGTTATGATTTTTTTTTAATAATGTCTTTTTTTAAACTATATATATTTATATATCTTTTTTATATCATTGTTCATTTTTGTACAGTGTTTGCTTTCTTCTCTCAGTTATAGTACTCAGACTACCCACTAGTTTACCCATGCACCATTGCCATAGTCGGTGTGCTCTTCCCTCCCGTATCTTGATCTCTTCCACCTGCTCTGCAGATTGTCTCTGATTCATAGTTGCCTGTTAATTTTTTTATTATTATTATTTTACCCCCGGTCCTTAATTTGGTTCCGCTATATTCCTCCTATAAGTGAAACCATCTGATATTTTTCTTTTCCCTTCTGACTCATTTCACTGAGCAGAATCCTTCGCAGCTCCATTCATGTTACTGAGAATGGCATGAGTTTCTCTTTTGATTGCTGAATAGTATTCCATTGTGTATATATACAGCATCTTCTTGATCCAGTCATCTGTTTTTGAGTATTTGAGTTGTTTCCAAGTCTTTCCTATTGTAAATGGTGCTGCAGTAAATATAGGAGTGCAGGTATCCTCTTGAATTAATGTTTTTGGGCTCTGCAGACAAATTCCTAGGAATATAAGATTATAATTTCTTAACCCTCCAGGAAATTGTGTGTCACTTAAGGAAAAATTGTCTCAATTAAGAGTCATATAGTGACAATAGATTCTGTGTGAAATAAAACTCTTCCTATGAGACATTGCTTCTTACTGAAAATTACCAGGCATTCATGGACTAGATTGAACTGCCTAGAGAGCATTAACTCTATAGTACTCCTTAAAACTGTATCATACTCTTGGCCCTCCCTGGTGGTGCAGCGGGTTAAAGCACAGCACTGAGAATCTAAAGCCGCTTCCACATGAGTTCGATTCCCGCCTTCCCCGGAGGTGACCACATGGCGTGGCAGACCTCTCCTGACCCGCCCTCTGCTCCCCTCAGCAGCAGTGTACTTCGTCGATCTGCCTGTTCTGTTCCCCACTCTGTCTCTGGTGAAGCCTCTCGCCGCCCCTGAGCCTCTGGCCTATACCCCAGTTCTGTATGCACAAATAAATAAATCTTTAAAAAAAAAAAAAACAAAAAAAACTGTATCGTACTCTTAAAGTCATGCTCTCAGAGCATAGCACTGGTGCTTTAATTAAGACTGTGTTAGCCAGATTATTTAAATCCTGTGGGCAATAGAGTGAACAAAGTGTCATTACACATGGACATTTGCTTGGAGTGGGGAGAACTTATAAATATAGTGTATTCAAGAGAAATGTGTTCCTTTCATTTCTAAATGTTGGTTGTGTTTATGCCACCTAGAAACACAAGTAAACTTGACAGCCAACTTCACAATTAGTATGTAAATCCTACCCCAAGTTTTATTTTTCTTATATCATACATTATAGTCCTTTCATGTTGGCCATTTTTTTAACAGCTTTGTTATTCATTGATTTCTTAAGTTTTTTTTTCTTTCCAAAACATAGGGAATACTATTGTTTCTTTGATTGTGTTTGATTTTAATTTGTTGTTCCCTCAAAGGCATGAATGTTTCTGAACAAAATCACTAGGTTAGTAATTGATAAACTATTGGAATTGCAATGCTTAGAAATGGTAAATACTTTTCTTCCCTCTTCTTTTTCCTTTTCTTCCTTTTTGCTCTAACTCACTATAATGATCCTTATGGTAAATAGAGAGTTTTGCATTTCATTCAGTCTGATCATTATTTGTTAATAGCTGGTGCCTAAAATGTGCTGGTATTGTTTGAATCACTTCTATTACTCATATGATCACA